GATGATTTTCCGAACATCAGGGTGCGACGATGTCCCTGGACGCTCAACGTGGCCTGTGCTCAGGCTACTGAGAGAGTCTCCCGTGGAACTTCTCAGCAACCGCCGCAGCAGTTCTCAGCATACGAAGCTTACGCACTCGAGCATCACGCCACTCAGCAAATCAAGCAGGTCGAAATGAATTTTGCCGCAATCCGCCTCAGCATTTAAGCTGCGAGCTGAATCTCCGACACTCCCGCAGGCGGCGTCCCGGGGAAAGGGGCCCCACGTCCATGGGCCGGAACCCGCGAGTAAACAATGCACACACCAGCACCACGAAACTCAGTCAAGGCCGCAAGGATGCTGCGAGACAGCACCGAGCCTTCACCATTGTATGTGGTCTCCCAAGCTCTGAGTGCCGACTGACACTGGCAAACCTGTGCTTTCTGCAAGCGAACGCAGCAGCCTCGAGAACGATCATCAATCCATGAAGCTCTGCCAGGAAGGAGGACTGGTCCTCGCACGCAAACCCTGCAGCAATGGGGGCCTGCTGCTCAAAAGCCACCGCCCATGCACCAACCTCCTCCTTGGAAGAGCCGTCGCTGGCACACACACGAGTGGAACTCGTCTCAACCGCAAGCCGGATGAACGTCTGAACCATTTCAGCTTTCCCGGGTCCTCCACGACGAGGCCAGGTGGAGACGGTGGAGCTGGCAAGTCAGCAAGAGCCACAGCGAACAGCCGCTCCTGTCCTGGGCTCCAAAGCAACTGCAACCGAGGATCGTGCCGACGAAGCATCGCAGGATGTACCCTTATCACGGGGAGTTGCTGGCTTAATTGCAGAAGGCCGCGGCGCGGAACTCCTCGGTTTCAAAGAGGCACCATCACCATAATTGGAAAAGGCTAGCCCAGCACGGCTAGCAACTGAAGACGTCGAGGAGGCACTGCCATGTGCAGAGAAGGCAAGACCCCATCATCCTTGACGACCGTCTGTGCAGACACCGTCCTGGATCACCCCGTAGCACAGGAAGACTCAAAGCCAGTGCACGCAAAGTCGAGGCGTGGGGCGCCTCCACGATAACCATGGAAAGCAGGGACTCGGGCGCCCAACCAAAGGCTTGCTATGTCTTTGGACGAGAGCTTCACGTATTCATAATGCTTGGCTTCGTATTTCAGAACCAAGAACATGCCAACATCCGACTTCGCGGGGAACTTGTGGATGAACTCGTTTGTTCTCAAAACCACGTTCGAACTGTGGGCAATGGAAGCAGCAGACAGCTCCAGCTAACCGGCCCATTGGCCTTGCTGTCTCAACTTCTCGCAGTACTGCTCGAGACCTTGCACCGATTGCTTGTCATCTGGGCCAAGTCCGTCCCAGTGGCTCTCGATCTGGTCTTTGCTTTGCATGAAGCCACTCACTTACAGCAGCTCGCACCTGACGATGTCCAACACGCTTTTTCTCAAGGTCCGAAAGCGCGCTGCCCCACGCCTCAAACAGGCAATTTCCCTTGCCCTTATTGGCAATCACTTCGGCTCCCTCCGGAAGGCAAAAGGCCCTTGCACGCTTGGGCACCTCCTCGCTGCCTTCCGCAACTTCACTCCTCTTGGCACCAACCTCAACCAAGGAAGTGTCCCCATCATCGAGTTCCATGGTGGGGTAGCTTTGCTTTTCGGGTGAGCCGTCTTAATGAAATCCTCCAGTGGAGCCCGGCAGCGCCTGCACTGCACGAGGCTCGCGGCGACGGCCCTTGCATGGACCGCAACCTCACCTTCCTCCGCCATGAGCTGGATGGGCACAAAATCGTCGACCCGCTTGGCCCGAATGGACCAGATGGCCCCTCTCCGAAAAGTCCTCGACTGCACCTCGCATTCGGAGAGCCCAGCCTCCGTTAGGATGTTGTCGACGTCCTCGAGCAACCAATCCTTATTGTGGCACCACGGAGCTCCCGCAGGCCAAGCTTCGCCTCGGTCGTCGGTAAAACCCACGTGTCCAATGCATCCACACGAGGAGCGACCTTGCCCGTTCGAAACCAAGCCATGATCACCTGCTTCGAGCAGCGAAGGCGCAACCATACCATGAGCATCCCAACTCACCGGCATCAGGAAGGCTGCCGAGTAGGCCAGCAGAGGCTCAGCAACCTCACCCAGCCCGGGCCCGCCGGCACCACGCGAGCAGCCCAGAGCCGAAGGAATGCAACAGGCCTCGCCGCAATCGTCTCAAAGGGTCCTTCACAAAGTCCTTGAAGAGGAACGCACGTATATCAGCACGGTCTCGCTTCTTCGGCGCCGGGGCCTTCACAAACGAAACAGAAGGAGCCAGCTGGGGGGCAGCCTCGTCCCCCAGGTGATTCACCCAGCACTGCCTGAGCCGATGCTGGCCTTTCACAATCCCAGGAACATGTTTCCTGACACTGCTGTTGGATGCTCCTCAGCTCCTCACAATCGTCGAATGTGCATGAAGAGCAGCACAGTGCCACTTGGGTGCCCACACATAAGCATGCTAGAGGCCTGCCCCAAGATCTCCTCGCCGCCCTGGACCAGGAACACGTCATTCTTGTCAAGGGCGTGCTGGATGTCTGAATTGTGTCTGCGAAGCAATTAATGAACTGAGGCTTAGCTTTCCACTTCACATCGTGCCACTCCGGCTTCTCATGCCGGCACCGTCTCTGGCTTCTGGTTTGTCCGAAGCCGCCACTCCTTCATGATGCGATCAAAGTCGGCCTCATCAGTGGGTGCCTGCGAGGCCTTGCCCGACTGCTTGCCACTATCTTTGCCGCCTCTCTTCTTGCCCTTGCCCTTTGCACCTGACTGTACACCGCCTCCCTTCGGGCTCAGTCCTTTGCCGCAGAGCTGGCCCCCACACTTTTCACAGGAGCAGGAGCCATTGTCGAAGAAGGGCACTTTCCCTGGCCCTTCGGGTGAGTCAAGCTCAGAGAAACCCCAAATCCCCCTTGCACGGCATGACCGGCACCACCATCTGAACCCACACCAGACGTAGTGCCGACTCCTGCCAGTCCAGGCGCCGTCGGGCGGTACCTGAGTTTGCTCTTCTTCTTCATTTTCGCTGCGGTGGCCGCAATAGAAGCCTCCGCAGCTGGCACCTGGTCCACGAATTGTCCCCTTCTCATCTCCTGTGCCAAAGCAAAATGCATTTACCGCTCCTCCTTGACCCGTCTTGCCGTGGCAATGGGTCCAGGACCCGGATGGCTCGCCTTGCCAATCCTTGTCCTCAGTCACTAGCACCCACGATTCATCGACATGTACTCCTTCGCACTTGTACCGCCAACTGAGCATAGCATACAAGCCCGCGACCGCCACCGTGGAGGCGGGTACCTGGCCCTCTCCCCCTCTCGCTTCCCCGCCCTTTTCCGCTCTTCACTTCGAACTGCAGGCTACGGGGTGGAAGTGTAGCTTTTCCCTGGGGAATGCTAAAAACAGCTAATAAGTGATATTAAGTGCTTAAAAAAACTAGAAAAAGCTACACTGCAAACTCACAAGACTGACCCGGGAACCCAGTAGCAACCCGGCCCTGCCAAACCCGTCCCAGACAAACCGTCTTTTCCCAACCGTGTAGAGGCGGTGCCATCCGCATTCTCCGTCTCTGTATTTCGCAAACCAGCTTGTACTCAGAGCTTGTACTCGGAACTCCAGTTAGCTTTTTGGTTGTCTTTGGAATAGTTTATTGGTTGTTTTTGGTGTAGCTTTTGGATTAGATCTTGTTTAGCTTTTTCTGGCTTGGATCGCTTTCCACAATGACCCCTGGGCTAGGCTTTATTTAGCTTTCCCATAGCTTTTGTTTGTGAATCTTGTCTCCAGAGCACGGTCGTCTTAGCTTTAATTACAGAAGCTTCTTGTCCAACACGTCCCATTGTCGCCAAGGTCGTGAGGATTGCATACTGGAATCCCACCTGCATCTCGACTTCTTCTGCAACACGACGGACGGTCGCACGAACCTCCAGGTGAGGAATCCTACACACATAGCTGACATACAAGTAGCACAGATAGTAACCGGAAGACACAACTTAACTGAGTCAGCTTGGAAGAGATCTCTGATCTACTAACGTAGAAGCGCACTGTTTGCAGGTGTGGTCTTTTCTTCACCCTGGTCGGAGCACTGCTCAACCACTTCGCCCACGGCACATTACCTCCCGGAAGTGCGCGCATTCTTCGCGCGCGGAAATGCACTTCTGCGAAGCACTTTGACATCGCAACCCCGAAACATCCCGAGGCTCTTCTCCCCGATGCCTCATCCCGGAGCAGTCGCTGCAGCTTCCGAGCCAGCACCACCTGAGCCCTTCAAGAGTTCCCACAAGCAGCCGCACGGTTGAACACTCAACAGGCTTCAAGAAAAGAGGGTGACATTGCATGGATTACAAACGACAATTGTATGCAGTCCACCCCGCTCCTGTTCTACCAAGAAAAACAGTGATCCAGAACAATGCCCCGGGTCTGTCCTGTTCTAGAAGCTGCATTGACCCCACGACTGGTTGTCAAAATGAGATTTGTTTTGAGAGATATACGGTCCCGGCTCAGTGGTATCCAATACTAGTAACCGCGAGCATTCGTTTGATCATGACATCGCCTATAGTGCTAAGCGTTACCGGCAGCTCGGCAACCGCAGAATAAAATTGGACATGGAGCAACCGAAAGATGATCCAGGTCTGCAGAATCTCCCACATTGAGATCCTGTTGCTGAGGGCAGGCAGGGGCAGAGTTGAAGTCAAGTTCTCAAAGCTGTGGTAGAATCCTTGCCAGAGGTCGTATCTTCAAGACCTCGCCGAAAGAATTGGTCCCGGTGCCGCCCCTGCCGTCCTTCACGCAGGAGGCCCAGAAGGGCTGGTCGTAGGCGAGTGGGAGAACGAGCTGCGGCACCTTCGAGGGCCACGGAGATTTTCATCAGCTCTTGTGATTAAGACGTGTTAAGTCTACACAGCACAGTTCACCGTGATGAGGCTCCGAAGGTCTCTGCAAGGGCTGTCGATTGACGGCTTTGTGCAGTTTCGTTTTAGGGCTTTGGACCAATTGGAGAGCAAGGAATTCAGATCTCGCCCGCAATTCTAGATTTCCTTGCATCTCGTGTTCGCTGTGACAAACCACCGCGCCGCAATTCTGGACAGATATTGTTAGCTGCAAAACTTCCACACTTGGCCACAACTTCCGAGATTTTACTTTTGATCTGTTGCTCACTTAGAGAGTCTTGTGGATCCTGCTTTATGCCACGGGCCAGACATTTGTGGACGCGATTGCAGTGGCCAGACTTGTATCGGAGCCCACGCAATGAACAGCTATCTTTCGTGCTTGGTCAGTATCAAAGCGGCCCGAACCCGGCCTGTGCTCGCAGCGCTGCGAGCACCGTGCCGATGCCACCATGATGGATTGCGACGGCACAGCGTGGGAGGAGCCAACCATGCCTGAGCTGAGTGCTGTTCCACCTGCCCGCCTTTGTTGCCCTGCTCTGCAAAAGCAAAAACAAAACCTCGTTTCTGAACCATTATGGCGTGGCCCTTCGGGAAGCCGATCTGCATTTCCAGTCACTTCGAATATGCACGAGAAAGGCATCTCCAATGAACTCAGAGGAACTTTCTTGACTCTCGAGCCGTTCAAATCAACTACACCCGAAGCAAGCATTTTTGCACTTTGAAAGCCTTTAGTGAATCTGCTAGCTAAACATTGGCGAGGCACGGCACCGCATGCTGGCACCAGAAGATGCTTTCCTCAAGCCTAAGTGGACAGAAACGCTGGGAGTTCGATTACCTTCATCAAATGAAGGGCTTTGTCAAACACTTCTCCTTGATCTGACTCTAAAGCCTCCCGTTGATGCTCTGCGCGCTACTCTCGACGAACACAGTAGCAGTGACAGTTTGTTGCCTCACCAGGCAGGCTTGCTCACGAATCCCTGCTGTGATCACACGGGACCTCCTACCAACCATTTCATAAGCTCTTGACTCCTCGCTTTGACAGATTCGTAAAGCAAAAGCCTGAACCCGTGCCACGAAACGGTTTACCTGCGCACAGGCCTAACAACGTATCCAAAGGCCCACCAATCAAGCAACCAAGCAATCAATCAACCTACCTAGCTATCAATTTGTCTGTCTATCTGTCCTTGCATCTATGTGTCCATCTCTCTGCCTATTCACTAACTAACAATCTACCGGTTTACCTGCGTATACACCTAACAACCTATCCATATGCCTACCAATCAACCAATCAAACCTACCTATCTATCTACTTACCTAGCTATCAATTTGTCTGTCTGTCTGTCCTTGCGTCTATGTGACCATCTCTCTTTCTGTCTATCTACCGATCCATCTAGCTGCCTATCTATCTGCATATCTACCTAACTAACTGTCTAACTGTCTAAATATCTATCTATCTATGTATCTACGAATCTATCTATCTATCGATCTATCTACTATCCATTTATCTATTTCTCTGCCTGCCTGCCTGCCTGCCTGCCTGCCTATCTATCAGCCCATCAATCAATCTATCTATCTCTGTGTCTGTTGTCTGTCTATCAATCTTTGTGCCAGTATCTATCCATCTCTCTGTCTAGCTATCTTTCTGTCTTTCTATCTATCCGTCTATCCATCCATCCATCTGTCTATCTGTCTAGCCTGCCTATCTGCCTGCTTGTCTGGCTGTCCGGATGTCTGTCTGTCTATGTGTCTGTCTCTATCCATGCATCTATCTGGATTGCTTGCTTGGTTAGTTGGTCGGTTGGTGGATGGGTTGGGGTTGGTAAGTGGGTTGGTGGGTGGGCTGCCGGGTGATGGGTTGGTCGGTTGATTGGTAGGTTGGTCGATTGAGGCATTGGCTGGTTGACACACACATCGGTGCTTGGGTCCTGATGGGTGTTCTGGGCCTTAAACAACCGGGACAGGTGGCAGCTCTTGCTTGCAGAACGTAGCTGAGCTGGGCGCCATCAGCACTAGAGGTCGTCCCATCCACCTTGGGCAAAGCACCAGCTGAGGATTGCGATTGCGCTGTTGGACGGCCTTTAGCTGTTGTCAGGTGCCCTTCAATAAATATATCATGACAAGGGCTGCATGTTGTCCAAGATCTGTGACTTTACTCGGGGTCGCGGGTCTCGCGCAGTGATCTCAACCTTAAACATTCGCAATAAATAGGAATGCTCAATTTCCTTCGAGTTGGACCACAGAATCCGTGACACGAGCCCCGTATCAAAACGATAACTCCAAAAACGGATCAGTCCAGGCGCTTGCAAGTGTCCAGCAAGATTTTGATAATCTTGTCCACTTCCTGGTGATGCCGAAGCCACGACCAGAAAAGAAATGCCAACGCCTAACAGCTTCGACACTTCGACGTCCATGTAACACACAAAGCTGCACAGCTTGACCTTTGCTTCTCCGATCCCCTTCTGCTGCAGAGCTGCCGGAACCAGACCCTCTGCACCCATGCCTCCGACTGGCTGGCATAGTCTAGAGGACTGCTCTCGCGAATCGATCTCGGGTTTGGAACAAAGAACACTTTGAAGACGCACAAGCTTGCTGGGCACTGCAGTGCGAGCGCGATTGGTGTTAGTAATGATAGTATCTCTTGCTTTCCTCCGGAACGAACACTTGCCGGAGGAATGGTACCTCAAAGTTGACACAAGCAGGGCCGGGGGTTAGGTCCGAACGAAGCTGTTACTGCGAACAAGCCACAGGAGAAGATGCCCAAAACTGGGTGTTTTGCTTGTCAGACATGTGACTGTATGTTGCCCTACTACGGAGCATAGCAGGAGTCATCTTCTTCTCCGAAGGACTCCGAAACCCTCCCGGAACTGCCATTGACTTCAGCTTATTGCAGAATTCATCACACGGGAGGCTTCCTCTGCGGTCGAGCACACATTTAAGGGCGACTTGGAGCCTAATTTCAGAACAAAACAGCTCGTAGACCGAACCCCTTACATACAAGAAATCCCACTTGCCCACTCCACAACCCGAAAGAATATCACAAAACATGGAGCCCATGTGATGCCACTGGAACCCATCAAGCACGTTTCGTTGCAGCCAACCTACTGCCAAAGCCGACATAGAAGGGGCGCCCCTTCAGAATGCCCTTCTGCACCTGCTCCTGACTTCAGAACGATAAAGTTAGGAAAGTTAGAGGGTTTAGGGCGGCGGATTTTACCTCCTTCCAGAACCTGACCCCATGTTTCCAGGTCAACGCCTGAAGCCGACATCAAAGCAGCGCGCTGCTCCTCGCAGTTCTGCAGGAAGGCGCCAAGCTCCTGGTACTCCCGTGAGCCTCTGTTACAACGAGGGCGTCGCGACGGCATGGCAATGTTGCCCAAGATTTGTAGAAGTTGCGCGGGTTTGCAAGACATCTAAATTTGAACAAAACGGTATAACACTCCCAAAGACACACAATTCAGACGTTTGGCAAGCCTACACCCTATCCGTCTCACCCAAAGGGAAGTGAATAGAAGTAGAGGCCTGAAATCCCTTCCCCTAATAGTAAACTGCCCACTCGGAAAGTCTGTGTACCATGCGGGGGTATTTTTTTATCTCAGCTGGCACTTTTGAGAGATATTGCTCTTGCTCCTGCGCTGGCTCTTGCTCATGCTCTTGCTGCATCTCCTGCTCTGGCTCCTGCGCTAGCTTTTGCTCTTGCTATTGCTTCTGCTCTTCCTCATGGTTTTGCTCTTACTCTTGCTCTTGCTTTTGGTGTTGCTTTCATTCCTGCTTTTGCTCTTACTCCTGCTCTGGCTCCGAACCCCCTAATGCAAACTAGGTTTTAAAGGACAGGGCGGAGTTTGGGAGTGAAAGTGTGTTTAAATGGGGGAAGGCATCGAGACATCTTTGACCTCAAGTTTTTGATTCGGTAGCCACCACCTGCCATCCAGTAAGAAATGCCTGCTAGACCCTCGGCTGAGGAAAGCCCGAGGGAGCGGGAAATCGAGCGCTCCATCTGAAACCTCTTGAGCCCCTGGGAGGACCTGGTGCGCAAGGCCTCTCGAAGCCTGTGTGAAGTCATTGTTTCCTCGACCCTTTGCTGTCCGGTGCCACGGGGCATCTTTGGCTCGCGACGTCCAGGCTTGGAGACCAGTGGCCACATATCCTGGCAGCCAAGGTGAAGGCATGGAATCGAGAGCGATGAAGGGCCTGGGCAGAATCCAGCGATTCACATGAACCGAAACTTGGGCTCGCATTACATAAAATATCCCCCCGTCAGTTTGAACCGAGCAGAGTCGAGGGCACCAGCTATGCGGATGCCAAGTAGCTTCGCATCTGTCGGAAGTGCACCGCCAGGATCTGCAGCTGAAAGCCTAGACGAGGTGCTGCCATGCAATGAACAAATCACTGATGCATTCCTTTCATTGCTGCGAAGACGAGCTGCACAGCAACGAGAGCATTGCTTTCCCATTCCTGAGTCAGGATCCTTCGACTTCAATTCATCTGGGCAGAGCCAGAAATAACAAAGGCGTTTCAATCATTCGACTAAGAGTGGATGTCGATTATTCCACTACAACCCTATAGCTATAACCATGCTACTCTACGAGGAGGTGGTCTATGCTAAGTGCTTTTGCCTCCCAAGTCGGCTCCGGCGCATCAAGTGCAGGCCAGGAGCAGGGTCGGTGGGATTCCCAGCAGAAATTTCCTGGGCCCCATTCCCCCAGGTCAGAGGCTTCGGAGCGATGGCAACAGGTCCTATCTACTTTGGATGAGACCATGCCCATCAAATCCTCTGCTTGAATGCCTTGGCTTCCGAAGGAGGTGCACGCGTCCAGAGTATGGCACTTAGAACTTTTGGAGTTCAGGCGTAGGTCTTCCAGTCGCCTCCTGCACCCCGGACAGGGTCCTATCCTGCTCTTCGATCGACCCAAGCGGCCCCGGGCGAAGTGTCTTCGCGTCGAACTTGTCCCTGTCAGCGCCGACCTGGCTTTGGTACGTGGATGTGCACCTGCATCTTCCTGCCCCTCAAACGGTGTGCAAGACACAAATCCTGGAACAAGTGGCAGGCTTTGCGCTTTCTGGGTGTGCTGTTGGTCTGTCGTTGGTGATTCGTGAATCACGGTCGAGCATATCGCAGAAGCACCAGAACCCCTCATGTTCAGCCAGCGAACTGATGCGCCTATTCGCGAAGACTTGTGAAGCCCTGGCTGGAACACTTTAACTTGAACCCCTGCATACCCATGTACTCCACGTAAGGTCATGGAGCTTTCGTCAGCATCACGATTCTCTCTCTCTCTTTCTTTCTTTCTGCAGGGCATAGGGGTCGCATGTTTGCGACCCTCAGGCCTTTGGCCCGCCCCCCCACCCTTTGTTTTATGGAGTGGGAGGCATTGGGGTCGTAATGACTGTTGCAAAAGAGGACTCAAGTTGCACCAGACTGCCAGCAGAAAGCCCCCGACCCCGAACACTACACCCCCAACCCGCGTCCCGGCCTCATCCCCGTGCCCCCTGTGGGCGTCGCGGGGCTTTAGTGGCATCTGGGCTGTAGAGCCCCAATGCAGAGGGCGCGAATCAACAGCGAGAGCTAGGTCTAGTAAAAGCCACACCCGAACTTCTGCCCCCTCTGCCTGGCTGTAGTATTCGGTCACTAGGTAGCAGGGGACGCTTACGGAAGGCAGGCCATACCCCTACGTGCCCACAACTATCCCCCGGCAACACAACTGAAGCGGTCCCCTACTAAGTGAGACTACGGGCCTTCACACCGGATCCCACTGCACAAGACAGGCGAACGAAC